CTGCTGACGCTTAAGTGGGAGGATGTGGAGGGTGGGGGGTAGCAGGAGGCAGAAGCTACACGGTGTTTCGGGGCCTCGTTCACAAGGCCCTGCTCTGTGCCTTCTTTCAGGGTCTCCTGCACAGGCTCTGCCCGCTTTTTCAGCCCCAGACCAGCTCACATTCAGATCACCGAGCACAAATGCCACAGATGAAGGCTTTCCTGGCTCACCTCTTGATGCAGGAAAAAACCTGAGACCAGTTTGGGCTGACGCAGGACATCCTGCCTCATGAATTCATCCCATTCCTTCAGGGGTTTATGTCAGCTTATATCAATACATATCCCCAAAAGGTGAGTTGCCAAAAAGTGGTCTCATGCTTGAAAATAGTTTGGGCAACTAGAACAAAAGACAGGCCAACGGGCTCTTTGCTGTAGGACCTCAGAGACACGGTGACGCAGCTGTGCCCTGCGGACTTGCAGGGGCCCAGGTGCGTGGGTTACCTTGCCCTCCCTTGGCAGAGCGCTGTTCTCCAATCAGCAAGAGGAGCGCCCGGCAGGTGCTTTTCCTTCCCCCAGTGGCGCTGTCTCAGAGAAGATAGACCCACCAGAGAACCGTGAAACTGCAGCCAGCATTGTGGCTGCCTCCAGCACCTCTAAACCCATGGCTGGGCTGAGGAAGGTCTGCACTCTGAAGGGGGGCAGGCTTACAGCCTTTGGTCAGATGCATGCTGCAGGCAGGGAAGCATCCACAGTTTGAATTCAATGCATTTCACTGGGGGAAGGGCAGGGGGCGACTGTCATGATGGCAGGTTCCAGCCAGGCAGCAGCAGTGCGACAGCAGCCCCTGACCGGAGCCTTACCCTTTTGGGAGAGTTAGGGATCCCAGGGAGAACAGCCAAGCTAGGGTTCGGGCCCCGAGTTCCCTCAGGTACATCAAACAACAAGTGAACCAGATTCCAACAGCAACAAAAATAAAACCACACTCCTAAATTTAAGCATCCCCTCTGTGCCCACATCATGCTACCAGTGTGTTAGAATCAGATGGAATCATTTTGCTCCTTTCTTGGGCCCAGAGTAAAAGCTTCATTACAGAGCGCAATCCCTGGGGGACAGGGGTGAAGGGGGGGAGGGTCTGGAAAACACAATCGATAAAAAATCTTGGCTAAGGTTGGAACTTCCTCCACTTTGTTTTTTAAAGAAACATCTCCATTTAAACCTCTTAAAAATAACATTTCAGAGCCCAGTTAGGAAAATGCTTATCTATAAAGAGTCCAATTTTCTCTGTTCTCTTTACAGAGAAAGAAGAAATGGGCAGAATGCCTGACTCAGAGAGGAACAACATCCGACCCTGTGGGAACATAACAAGTAAGCGTGTAAGAGGCTGTATCTTCCAATTTCCTTGCCTCTTACATTGTAGTTTAAGCAAGCAAAGTGAAGGATAAAGTGCTGGAGTGACGGAGGAAGGGAAGAGGCATGCTGGGTAGATAGCCAGGTTATGGCTTGGTAACAGTAGGTGACAACTGGTATTCACCAAGAGTGAGAACAAGGAGTGCAAGTGCGAACTTTGGAAGACAGGGAGTTCATTTTGCACAGTCTTAGAGACATCCAAGTGGAAATCTCCACTCTGCAGGCAGATACATGAGCCTGGAGCTCAGAAATGTCTGGGCTGGAGGCATGACTTTGGGTCAACAGAGAGCTGAAGCCATGACTGTGCATGAGATCATTAAGAGACAGCTGAGCATGAGCAGCAGAGGGGCCTGGGCTGGCCTGGAGGGGGAGACAGGGAGGGAGGCCAGGCCGCAGGCTGCGGACAGGGGAAGAGCAGGAGAATCAGTCACACCTGCAGTTAGTTCTCCTCAGGTGCACACAAACCTGCCTGACCCAGATGTAGCTGCACAGTGTGTGTTTGCAGTAAACAAAAGGGGCCTCATTTTTCGCTTCCAGTGTTACTTTCATTTGTATACTGAAAAGAAGTTTTCAAAACACTTTTTCAACAATTTTATTTTTAAAACATTACGTCTTTATAATGAACCAGCAAGGAAGCCATGGAACGTATTGAGTCCCCCTTTTTTCCAGCTTTCTTGACATAAAATTGACAAAATCGTAAGATTTTTCAAAGCGTTTTGATTTAATACACACATGCATTGTGATAGGATGTATTAACACATGAAGTTAACACATTCATCACCTCGCATATTCCCCTCCCCTCCTTTTTTTGGTGAGTGAAGTTCTCTCAGCAAATTTCACTTATACAATACAGATTATCAACTATAGTCACCATGTTATACATTACAGCCTCAGACAATATTCATCTTACAATGGGAAATGTGCACCCTTTTACCAATCTTTCTCTATTTTCCCCACCCCTGGCCCCTGGCAAACACTTTTCTACTCGGTTTTTATGAGTTCCATGATTCCACGTCTAAGTGATCCATGTGTTATTTGTACGAACCCCCTTTTAGCAGTAAGTTAGTTGAAGCTCACCTATGGAGAGAGAGGGCTGTTAGTTCTTTATCACTTGACACTAGCGTCTTCCTAGGTCTTTTCTTTTGTTCTACTTCAGCTCATCACATATGACTTACAATCTTGTGGGTACACTTGCCCATTTTCCGACTGGACTGTAACATACTCGAGGTCAGGAATCAGGTCTTCCTCTCCCCTCCAAGCTCTGCTTCCTTCATCCAGCACCTTGCTTTGTAACCCCAAAGTATTTGATCAATTGAGGGTGCACTGAATCCATAGCAGGACAAAAGCTCTCCTGTTTTGAATGCTTTGAAGTTTTCCTCCCCAGCTCAGCAATTGCCTTCCCTGCTACGCAGTGATGACAGCACAGAATAGGGGACTGTGTTATAATCAGCATTAGAACAGCAAGAAGAGACTAATACATTCTGTGAGGGAGTCACAGTGAGCAGCTCCACAGATAATTTTTCGGATCAGTATGTGTTTTTACACAATCCTTTTCTTCCCTCCTAATTACCCAACTTCATCGGAACTGACTTTTGGAAGAGTAGATATGGTCTTTCATTTCTGTAGAGTTTAAAAAACATGTGTCTCATTTACATTTTTTTCTTGTTTTTTTCCTGTATGGTATTTTGTACACTTTTGAATATATTTCCTCTGAGTTTAGACACCCGTAGGATTCTTAAAATAGGCCAATTTCTGCCTTGGGCTATGGAAGAGGAGGGCAATTCATATAGTACAGGGGAGAGAACACCATTTTTGGCTTCAGTAGATCCAGTGTGGGCACTGTGTGACCTCAGGCAAGTTACTTAACTTCTCAGGGTCTGTTGCTTTGTCTGTAAAAGAAATCCTATTGCCTTTCTGGGACTTGTAATGAGAATTAAGTGAAATAAACCCACAGCTAGTTCATACTGACCTATACCATGTGCTTGATAAATGTTTATTTTCCATCTACTCCCTCCATTTTTAACTCTGAAACATATTTATTATGTAAACCTTGAGAGAGCTTTCAACACTTAGACATAGTATTAGTCTGTATCTATCATTTACTACTTACTTTTTTCCGTGTGATTTCCCACAATAGATTCTAAATTCCTTGAAGATAGAGCCATATATTTTATTTTTTAGATATTTTTATGCCCAACCACCTATGATATGCTCATCATCAAGCAGGTAGATAGATACTTTTTAACTAGGTTTTCTTTATTTCATCATTTATCATGTGGTAATAATGACAGTATTTGCCCTGAGTAAGAAATCAGTTAAACAATTTAAGAGAATGCATAAATCTTCTCAGGTATTCATAAGGACGGTCTAAGGGGGTGGTGGCATTACTACTGATTTACCCTGTGATTTCCCTAATCAGCAGACACTCGGTTCTACTCTCATCACTCTCCTCTCTCTCGGTGGCAGGATTCCCAGCACAATCTGAAAAACTGGCAAGCAGTGAAGTTTGTGCAGACATGAGAGTCAGTTAGAAATAAAGTGACCATTGAATTTGTTGTCCAAATAGAAGCAAATGTGAAGCAAAAAAGAGAAGCTATTAGTGATTGTGTTGGCTCAACAGTGGTGAACCAGGGCAAACCACGGTTACTCTGGTTATACCAAGGTTATTCCTACCTTGGGACAGCCACCCCAAATGAACCCCACTGATACTATCTTGAAGCAATTATAATGTGAATTGAATTTGTATGCACTCTGTAGAATGCATTTCACTTGTGCATTTATTTACCGCTGTCTATTAGAAGCTAATTGGGGCACTGTGTTAGCTAAATTAAGCATATTATGTTGAAGAACTACCTAAGTAAGAGGAGTCTCCGAGTATAGCAGGAGGAAATTACATGGTGTCTCTTCACCATGCAACTCAAAATTTAATGAGGGTGTCAGGTGTGGTGCTGTTCATCTGTCCACCTGTGTTTCTCACCCAGGCAAGCTCCCTGATAGCTTGCCAAGCCCCTGGGCAGCCTAATGCCAGTCCTAAGAATTTTCTGTGAAAACCAACACAATCAATTTTACTTCAAAAGAACTTACTACAATTTACTTTGTCAAGTTGGGGGAGAAATTCCTTTGCAAAAAGAAGATGCATGAACTACGAGGGTAATTAATTCTTTATATACATCCTCATTCTGCTAGAAGTTGGCTCTCCGAGGACTGGTAATATCCTCAGTGATATGGTAATAACCACTGAGACCATAACTTTGACTTTCATGAAAGGCCAATAAATCCACAAAGAATTTAAAATAAAGATGGATGTTTAAACATATGCGCTTACTGTCTATTATCCAAATGGGAATCAGATGCCTCCTGATTTGAATGTCTTTTTAGTAAATAAAAATGATCTTTTTGACTAAAAAGGTGAGATCCTCTTTTGCTATTTCTCACCTAGCATTAAGGTTCTGTGGCCTGGTTGAAAAGCCTAATAATCACTTCTAATAATATCTCAATGGTAAATTTTGTTCCCTGGGATATTAGAAAGAGGACAGAACATGAAAATCAGGCTCAAATCCTCACCTTGCCTGTTATTGGCTGTCTGGCATTAGGCCAGCCCTTTATTACTCTGGCCCTCAGTATTTTCATTTGTCTAGTTCTTTTCTTAAAGAAATTTTTATTAAGGTGTCATTGATATACAGTCTTATGCTCAGGTTTCACATGAGCAACATTTTAGTTACTACATCCCCTGCTATTATCAAGTTCCCACCATATACCCCATTACAGTCACCATCCACCAGTGTAGTAAGATTCTATAGAGTCACTACTTGTCTTCTCTGTGCTATACTGCCTTCCCTGTGCCCCCCTACATTATGTGTGCTAATTGTAATGCCCCCTTTTTCCTCTTATCCCTCCCTTCCCACCCATCCTCTCCACTCCCTTTCCTTTTGGTAACTGTTAGTCCTTTCTCGGGTTCTGTGAGTCTGCTGCTGTTTTGTTCCTTCAGTTTTTGCTTTGTTGTTACACTCCACAGATGAGGGAAATCATGTGATACTTGTCTTTCTCTGCCTGACTTATTTCACTGAGCATAATACCCTCTAGTTCCATCCATGTTGTTGCAAATGGTAGGATTTGTTTTCTTCTTGTGGCTGAATAATATTCCATTTGTCTAGTTCTTTTACGGCTCAAATGAGTTAAGATGTACCCAAAACTTTAGCCAATAGTCAGAAAATTAATAAACCTAATTAGGATGCAAATACCACAAGAGTGGGCATTTTGTCCACACCTCTGTGTTGTTTCCTTGCATACTGAATAAGTGTTCATAGAATGAAGGAATAGTACTAATTAGAAGAAAAATTGATAATCTGAGCATGTCCCCATGAATTCGTTTGACATATGTGTACCTTTCATCTCTCCTATTTTAAGCCAAGAAGTAAAAATGTGAAAGATGAATCGAATCAGCCCACACCCATAATTCTTCAAATTATTTAGTCATCATTTCCTGTTTTTTTGTTTCTCCCTTCATCTGGCATCTATTAAAACGTGTAGCTCATTATGAATCTCGGTGGCCTTGCTACTTATGACCAACAGCATCTAAGAACTTGGTAGAAATGAGGAATCTTGGGCCCCACCCTGGCTTTATCAAATCAGAATCTGTGTTTTAACAAGATGTAGGTAACAAAAGTGAACATTAAGAGGGAAGGAGATCTCTTTGGTGTCTTTTAGAAGCTGTCAGTTCAACTGGGAAGACAAAAATGTGCACAGACATCTAGTATGGATTTTAGGCCGCCACTTAGAGCATACAAAACATGACTATTTTCCCTATAAACCAATGCAATTCCTATGTCCATTTCCATTCTGCTGATATGGTGGAAACTTCATCACAAACAATTTGGAGTTTCACTGTCCTTCCTGGTGCAACAGCAAGGTTGGGGATGAGGGATGATCAATTCATTTGTCACCTGTTCAGTGGGGTG